GTGGTGGCCCACACCTGTAATCCCAGCACTTTGGGAGGCCGAAGTGGGCGGATCACCTGAGGTCAGGAGTTTGAGAGCAGCCTGGGAAACACGGAGAAACCCCGTCTCTACTAGAAACACAAAATTAGCCGGGTGTGGTGGCGCCTGTCTGTAATCCCAGCTACTCAGGAGGCTGAGGCAGGAGAATCTCTTGCACCTGGGAGGCGGAGGTTGCAGTGAGCTGAGATTTTGCCATTTCACATCAGCCTGGGCAACAAGAGTGAAACTCCGTCTCAAACAAACAAGCAAACAAAGGTACCGTTAAGAGGGTGGAAAGTGGAGGCAGAGAGGGAGAAGATTCCCCAGTACAAGAGTTCAATGAAGAGCTCGTCCAAAGGAGGAGGCACAGGGAGGCGGCCAGAGCCGAGAGGCGCCGCCCAGAAGCAGACGTGCAGCTCCTGCACAACTCCAGCCTCGCCTGGCGAACGGGGCGGCACCTTCTGACGCTGACCCGACGCGTCCTGGAAATGCGAGAGGTTTGCTGAAAGGAGCGTTTCCAGACATTCACGGCCACACCGCGTGTGGTAGCTGCAAACTGGAAATTACCCACATCACCACCCACAGGAAACGGCACAGCCGCGTGCGGCATTCACGCAGGATGGCCTCGTCCGCACGGCGGCTGTCTCCCGAGCGCAGCGTGGACCCGAGGACGCAGACGCAGAAAGGGATGCAGGGTGCGATTCCACTTGTGAAAGCTCAGGTCAGGCTGGCCCTGGGTGGCGGGACGCCGTGTCCTGCGGCCTTGTGGTAGCTACTGTCTGGAAAAGCATCGTGTGGCACCAGGCGGCACTTTCCGCACGCCCAGCTCTCGCTGCCACCCCTCACAGTGCAGGCCCCAGTCTCCTAGTCCTGTGCCCTGGACTCCCAAGAACTTCTGGGTCCAAACCCCACCTTAGAGAGATCCCTGGCCCCCCCAGCCACCCCTCTCCCTACTTCCTTCTCGGGAGAGCTGCCGTGGGAGCTGAGCTCATCTGCCTGTTAGATTGGATGTTTATTGTCGGATCTCTTGCCCTGTCTTCTTGTCCCCTGGCTCGGAACCGGCCTGGGAATGGGCACCGTGAACCCCAAGGTCAGGACAGCCTGGAGGGTGCAGCTGAGCAGAGCTGGGCATGGGGACACCTGACCCTGACGCTCCCTGGCTGTGTGGCTACACAGGCCACTCACCTTCACATGAGCCCCGGAGGTCAGGACAGGGAGGCACAAGCCCTGGCCAGGACACAGAGGCCATCTCAAAAGCAGGCCAGGAACATTCCAGGGGTGGCAGGGAGGGCAGGTCTGAGGTTTCACTGTGGGTGGCGGAAGCACGGGAACTGAGCGGTGCTGCCTGCGGGTCAGCGTCGTCCGGCCTGTGTCTGACCTCACCTCGGCCCGGCTCCGTGCCAGGAAGTCGTTCTCACGTACTGTAGCTGGAGGGCCCTCAAATGCCATCTATTTGTGGCCTGGACCCTGATGGCTGGCACAAGTCACGTGTGACCACAGGGACGCGGTATTTTTGGCACGGGGGTGGAGCCTGTGCAGCCAGCCTAGCACCATGCCGCCCTGGGATGGGCAGCTCAGACCCCCAGCTTGGCCGCCGGGACCCAGGTAGGACAAGGTCAGCTACTTGCTCCTGACCCAAGGGGTCCCAATGGCAACAACCGCCACAGAGGTTTCTCCAGAGACCAGAGAGGAGGGCGAAGGTCAGTGGGCGGGAAGCCACCATCCCTGGCCTCCGTCTCAGGACTCTGTCCCTGCCAAAGGGACTTCCTACCCCCTGGGTCCAGAGGGGCTGACCTGAGGCCGAGGTCAGTAGGGCTAGACCCGACAGCTGGCTAGGCTCTCCTTGCTTCTCTGAGATGGGGCAAAGGAAGGCACCCTGAGCAGCCAGGCAGGCTTGGGTTGTGCTGCAGACCTTGAGGACAGCCCGAGGTGGTTGCTGGGTCAAGAGACCCATTGCACCCTGCGCCTCCTGCCCAGGCTCTCCCTGCTGACCGGGGCCAGCTCTAGTGAGCACCACCTGGAGCTCAGAGAATAGCCTGACCCAGCCAATGCGATCGGAAGGTCATCACCGAGGGCTGGGCACCTGCTGGGCCCTGCAAACCTCTCCTGTGGCCGGCTGCCAGCTGGGGCGCCCTAGGATGGCCCAGGGCCGCCCGCCTCCCGAGCACACTGGTCCCATTGGGTGGACCCTGAAAGGGGCTTTGCCGTGTAAAGACAGCTCTGGCAGAAGGTGGAGGAAGTGAGGCCGCCCCAGCTAAGGTGTGATGGGAAACTGAGCGTTCGAACCTGAGGGCGGCTGGTTTTATAACTCCACTGGTAGAAAATCATCCTAGATTCTAGAAACGTAACACACTATGTGATGTAATCATCACACAGCTATCATTTGGGGTGCGCTGGGAATTAGGGTCATGGGAGCTGGGGATCTTCTAACTTGGAAATCGTCACCACTACGTTTGAAGGAAGCGCGACCCTCCCCTCAAGATGTTCTCTTCCTTTCAGGGCCCAGATGGAGCCCCGAGGCGGTGGAACCCCCGGGTCTCGTGCGGCAGGAGCCGCATGTGCAGTGTAGTGCCTGGGGCCTGAACCCACGAAGACCCCACTGGACCCATTCTGCTACCCTCCAGTGCCTCTGCTGACCCCACATGGAAAATTTCCAGTACAGCGTCCAGCTGAGTGACCAGGACTGGGCTGAGTTCTCAGCCACCGCCGACGAGTGTGGCCTCCTGCAGGCTGGCCTGGCCTCTGGGGACGAGCCCTTGTCCAGTGACATTGACCAAGGGGACAGCAGTGGCAGCAGTCCCCCCAGGCCCCTGCCTCTCCCAACTGGGCAGCCAGCTGCAGGAGGGCGGAGCTGGCGGGGCTGCGAGGGGGAGGACGTGGCCACACAGCAGCTGGTCAGCAGGTCTCTGTGTGAGCCTGTCTTGGCCCTGGGGACCGGTCAGCAGACACCCAGCACGTCCACACGGGCAGAGGCTCCACCGTCCCTCGGCCCCGGCGCCAGCCCTCCTGGCCAGTGCTCATCCTGCCCTGGTCCGGCGTCTTCTGGAGACCAGATGCAGAGGCTTCTGCAGGGCCCTGCCCCATGGCCCCCTGGTGAGCCCCCTCGGAGTCCCGAGTCCCCTGGCCACAGCACTGGCTCCCAGAGGCCCCCCGATAGCCCTGGAGGCCCACCACGGAGCCCCAGCCGGAAGAAGAGGCGAGCTGTGGGTGCCAAGGGGGGTGGGCACGCAGGGGCCTCTACCTCTGCCCGGACGGGCTCCCCGCTGCTCCCCGCGGCCAGTCCTGAGATGGCAAAGCTGACGGCCAAAGCCAGGCAGGAGGAGCTGGGGCCAGGCCCTACAGGAGCTCCTAAGCCAGGGCCAGATTTGGGCCTATCTACACCCGTCCCTGTGACTGAGCAAGGCACAGACCAGATCAGAACCCCTCCCCGAGCTGAGCTGCACACGGGGTCCACACCTGTCCAGGAAGCCCACCCAGATGTCTCATGGGCTAAGTCAGACCTGGCTGTGTCCACACCTGCCTCCGAGCCACAACCTGACACGGCTGTGTCCACACTGACTTCTGAGCCTCAGTCCAGTGTGGCCCTGTCTACACCCGTCTCCACGCTGCAACCTGACACGGACACGGCTGTGTCCACACCTGCCCCCGAGCATGGCCTGGACATGGCCTTGCCGACAGCAGGCCCAGCGGCTAAGCTAGAGGTGGCTTCACCTCCACCCGTCTCAGAGGCTGCGCCGAGGGTGACCGAGTCCAGCAGGCTTGTGTTTACCCCCGTTCCCACGGCTGACGCCGCTGGCCCCGCCTGGTCTCCCACCCGCAGAGCTGGGCCTGATGTGGAGACAGAGGTGGTTGTGTCTGCGCCCTCAGCAGGGGCCCCTGGATACCGCTCTGGGGAGCCCGCACTGGGTCTCACCCAAGTCCCCAAGAAGAAGAAAGTGCGCTTCTCCGTGGCTGGGCCCGGCCCCAACAAGCCAGGCCCAGGAGAGGCCTCAGGCCTGGCCCCATCGGCCACAGCCAGGCCCTCAGCCCCCCGGACAGCAACTGGGGGCCACGGGGGGCCCGGAGCCTGGGATGCTGTGGCCGTCGGTCCCCGGCCCCACCAGCCTCGGATCCTCAAGCACCTGCCTCGCCCCCCTCCCTCTGCCGTGATGAGGGCCCGGCCCGGGCGCAGCTTTGCCGTGACCCTCCCGGAGGCCTACGAGTTCTTCTTCTGTGACACCATCGAGGAGGACGAGGATGCTGAGGCGGCAGCAGCCAGTCAGGATCCGGCAGGCATCCAGTGGCCGGACATGTGCGAATTCTTCTTCCAAGACACCGGAGCCCAGAGGCCGAGGCAGCGGGGGTCCCCGGCGCCACTCCCAAGAGCTGATCCTGTACCGGCCCCCGTACCTGGAGACCCTGTGCCCATCTCCATCCCTGAGGTCTATGAACACTTCTTCGGAGACGACAGGCTTGAGGGCGTGCTAGGGCCGGCTGTCCTGCCCCAGCTGCAGGCCCCGGAGCCTCCCAGATCGGCCTTCCAGGGTGCGGGGCCGGGGACCCCCCTCAAGCCAGCCACAGTAGAGCGGCTCCACCTGGCTCTTAGGCGGGCAGGTACGTGTTCTCGGATCCCCGTCCAGGTCCCAGGCAAACACTGTCCAGGGAGCTTGGCCAGGGAGGGGGCCACTGGGGAGGGGCAGGCAGGGCTCAGGTCATCTCCTGGCAGGGGAGCCTGGGGGCCAGCCCCCAGTCACCCCAGGACACAGTCCAGACGGGGCGGCCCAGGCCAGGCGCCCGGGCTGTTCAGGGGGCTGGCTCTGCACTGGCCGTTGCCCTGTGTTCGGGCCCACCGGACGACAGCGTCCCTCCCCCAGCCTCTGGCAGGGTTCCCATCCAGGCCTCGCTGCCTTCAGGGTCAGGCATCTGCGAGGCGACATCTCACACTCATCTCCTCTGGGAGATGCTTCACAGACCAGAAAACGGGGGCTCCACAGGCAGTCCCCCCAAACTGGCCCAACTCAACCAGGTCACCCAAGTCTCAGGCAGAGGAAGCACGGGGCAGATGTGACTCCGACAGACACGTCCAGGGCAGGCGGTTTCCGGGACAGGTGGCCCCCAGGGCAGGCAGTTCCCGGGAAGACGTGTCCAGGACAAATGTCTCTTACGACAGACATGTCCCAGGGTGGATGTGTCTGGGACAGGCGGTTCCCAGGGCGGGCGTGTGCGGGGCAGGCAGTTCCCGGGGTTGGGGGGGGAGGCG